CACCAATAAATTCCTACTTTGGTCATGTGGAATGTCTAGTCGTCTAGTCAGTTTTGGTGGGAAAAGAGGATATTTGCGCGGAAGAATAACATGGGTAAAAGGGCTTGAAAGACGTCTCACATTGAACCGGAAGTACAGAATTCACCCCAATCTACTTTAACTTTTCCTGATTTGAGATTTCCATGTTGAACCTCACACTGCCAGGTGTTATAGTTTATGCCTTGTGAAGGAATTAGCTTAACGAATATTGTGGAAAGAGTTACAGCTTGTGATATGAGCTTGAAATAACATTGAAGTCAATCGGGCAATCTTTGGTGATCTATATCCTAATCACGCGCTGCGCAGGGGTCAACAGATTTACTTCCCCTGAATTACATTTTACAAAATAGAGTTTTGTCCCATTTCCCCAGAGATTGAAACTGGACCCCTGACCCCACATGGGGAGTAGACGTTGTCGCCCAGCGACCTATTTCAAATTCCGGGTACTACATTTCAGCGACAGCCCATAGGGTATTGACAGTAAGTTATTGATTATGAAAGAAAAGTTCAACCTTTGACTAGAAAAGTTGAATTACGCATATCAATCGGGTATGGGATGCATATTTCTGTCCACGATTTTCATAATAGAATTCGAGTTTCTCCGCTGCGTACCAATGACGCCATTCGGCGTTTACACGATCGATCCCATTGCTGGAGCCACCCCAACGCATGATATATAAAAATTGATTGTATTTGTTGAAGTGAATATCGAAGTTTATTTTAGTTATTTTATACTATAAAATCCAGAATGCCTCGTCCGGCATTTTTGTCCAAGCGTGGCAAAAACGTGTTAATTTTTTTTTCACAATTTTGCTACGTTGTACCGTGGTAACAACAAAATGCCACGTTTGTCTGCAGTTCCAAAAAGTATTTTTTTTAAAAATTGCCATGTTTTTGGAACGAGGTATTTTGTGCAGAACGAGGCTGTTCACAAAGTTGGATACATGATTTTTTAAAAGGGTTGGGGGTGTGGTTCAGCCAAACCAAAGTCTCGTCGAGCATATCGAGGACAGCATAATATTATTTGGTGACATTTTCAAGCAATTGTGTAGAGACAAAAACACAAGGCAATGTCGACTAGAAATGACATTTGTTGCATAAAAAGAATTTGTTACATTCTTTGTTGCAGTTTCATATGTTCACACAATATTTCCAACAAAGAGATGTGAGAAATGAAAAACAGCTAAGTTCAAAGTGGAGCGAAATCAATAATTGTACTTTAGGTCTTTGAAAATTATTAATTACAAATATGCTGTTCCTGTTTTTATATAATAAACTATATTATATTTAATATATCTCATGAAATTTTATGTAATTGGCACCCAGTTGTATGTATAAAAATTGCAAAAGCAGCATCTTAACGGCCAATTAAATTCAATCTAAACATGAAATAGACACAATTTATGTTTATATAATGACATGCAAAGTGAACAACTGGATTCTTTTTAAAGGGTCGATCTGGACTATATATTGGAGAATAAAACTGCTTAATTTTGTGTTAAAAGCCCTTAAAATCGTCTACATTTGGGCCGAGCAACCAACTCAATATACGTGATACGTTTTGATCTTAAAACCGTCGTTTATTATATAAAAACAGGAACAGCATATTCGTAATTAATAATGTTCAAAAACCTAAAATACAATTATTGAGTTCGCTCAACTTTGAACTTGGCTGTTTTTCATTTCTCACATCTCATTGTTGGAAATAATGTGTGGACATATGAAACTGTAACAAACTCTTTTTAAGCAACGAATGTCATTTCTAGTCAAGACTTTGCCGTGTGCTTTTTTTTCTCTACATAATCGCTTGAAAGTGTAACCAAATAATGGCATGTTGTCCTCGATACCCTTTTGAAAGATAAGCTGCGAGGAAACAAAACATACGACCACAGCAGCTAAATCGTCCGGTGGGTGACAAGGGTTGTCGCATTTATTCTTTTGTAGGTAATTTGGGGCATTTAATAGACAATTTCATACAGATGACATTATAAGATTCGTCGTTTGAGGGTTCACAAGGTTCTAAAAACTAAAACAAGGGCCGTAACTCTGGAAGTAATCTACAGAAATTGCTGAAATGCGACAGGCATTTTCATTTTACTAATTCAAATAATGCATATAAATTTCATACAGATCGGATGATAAATTTTGTCGTTCGAACGTTCACAAGGTTCAACAAAGTAAAACAAGGGCCATAATTCTAGAAGTAATTGTCGGAAATTGCTGACGTTCAATAGGCCTCTTCATTTCACTAATTTAAATGATGCATTGTGATTTCATACAGATTGGGTGATAACGTTTGTCGTTCAAACGTTCAAAAGATTAAGCAAAGTGAAACAAGGGGCATAACTCTAGATGTAATTAACGGAAATTTGCTGAAACTCAATAGGCTTGTTCGTTTTACTAATTTAAACGATACATATAAATTTCATACAGATCGGATAATAACTTTTGTCGTTAGAGCATTCACAAGGCACAACAAAGTGAAACAAGGACCATAACTCACAGAGTAATAAATGGAAATTGCTGAAATTCAATAGGCTTCTTCGTTGCACTAATTTAAATAATGCATATCAATTTCAAACAGATCGGATGAAAACTGTTGTCATAAGAGCGTTCACAAGATTCAACAAAGTGAAACAAGGGCCATAACTATAGATGTAATAAACGAAAATTGCTGAAATTCAATAGGCTTCTTGGTTTTACTAATTTAAATGATGCATATTCATTTCATACAGATCGGATTATAACTTTTGTCGTTAGAGCCTTCACAAGGTACAACAAAGTGAAACAGGGGCCATAACTCACGGCGTAATTAACGGAAATTTCTGAAATTCAAAAGACTTCATCGTTTCTCTAATTTAAATGATGCATATCTATTTCAAACAGATCGGATGATAACTGTTGTCATTACAGCGTTCACAAGATTCAACAAAGTGAAACAAAGGCCATAAGTCTAGATGAATTAACAAAACTTGCTGAAATTCAATAGGATTCTTTGTTTTACTAATTTAAATGGTGCATATAAATTTCATACAGAACGTTCACAAGGTGCAACAAAGTGAAACAAGGGCCATAACTCCAGAAGAAATTAACGGAAGTTATAGAAATTAAATAGGATTCTTCGTCTCACTAATGCAAACAACATATATCAATTTCAAAACAATCAGATGATAAATGTAGTCTGTAGAGTGTTCACAAGAAATTGTGGACGACGGACGGGAGCGACGGCAATATACTCCACATTTCCATGTATCTAACCTTGTGAACAGCCTCGTTCTGGACAAAATACCTCGTCACAAAAACATGGCGAACGAGACATTCTAAGGTTTATAGTGTTAGTTATAGGTCAGAAGCTGGGCCAGATTTTTATGACTTTTTGTTCCACCATCGGTGTTGAGGCTAAAAATATTTTCAAAAATTCAATAAAGTATCCAATTTGTCGAAACGAGCTCAATAGCGCGAAAAACCTGCTAACCAGATATCAAAATTATTTTCTTAATTTAGGATTTTATTTTGACGCGGGTTCAGCGATGACAACTGGCAAGTAACTGCTGGTCGAGTTATCAGGCAATGAAATCGATGCAATTTGCTGTGATCTTTGAAGGTAAACAGAACGTCTCCTTTTGATTGCTGTCCTTTTATTTCGTCGTAAAGTTACACGTCAGCCACAACGTTCGTATGTAGGACATACTATAAATATACGAGGCGATGGATCTGTAGACATTCGAAGCTCTTCTTGTGTCCGTGGGTAGTATACGTCCTGAAAATAAAGATGCTATTCCGCCAGATGCGTGTCAGATGTATGATATTGGCAGAACAGTACATTACAACATGCTCAGACAATATCGTTATCTAATATGGCAGGACTTTTTATCAATTGCACTGGAACATTGACACATTTTGAATTATTCTTTGTAAAGTGGTATGTTTTTGACATGATAAAATCATTAATGATTGTGAGAATGAAGTAATCATTATCGTTAATAAGAATAACGTCATGCTTAGTTTGTATAAAACCGAAAAGTCTTATATGTTGCAGTTCTTGTCTTTTGGGGTATGGTGTTTGCACATGGCATACTATTTGGGAAATTGCAGGTAACGGTTTTTGGCTAGGAGCGCCTGACCGTGTCATCGCCTGCTGGAGATGGCTTAATTCGCCGCCTAACAAAAAAATAGTAATACTGACAATGCACAAGGAGTATGCCATTTTTCTGGTTATGGTCAAACAAGTTTGGTGTGTCGAGGGATGCAGACTGACAACGTACATAACAATCTCGGCTCCCAGAGGATACGTAAAACTCGTCGGCCATTTTGTATGTCACGTGATGTATCCTTCCGTTGGTCGCTTGACAAAGATCCAAGATGGCGGCTCCCAAACTCGCGTTTCTTAAAAAATTCACGTATTTTACCGAATCACTCACATTGTGCGCTAAAATAGTTCCTAATAAACCATCTGGATGTCAAGATGTGGAAAATGTTCCAAGGATCATTAACATGTAACTCACGCAACAAAGTGGTGCCTAATTGTCGAGAATCGGCAACAACTAGGGGCGGAGCTTAGGAACCGATTTAAGACTGATTAATGGCCGGCGAGTTTTCCCAGAGATAAACGAAGGGTAAACTTAACCCGGGGGGGGGGGGCGAGGTTGCGTACATAAGTCACTCACACACAGAAACTAGTCCACTGACTGGATCTACATAGTTTTATAGTATAACAGTTTAGAAATGAAAATAAATTTTGAACTCTTGCTATCCTGTACAACTATACATTTCCCACCCATAGTCAATTTCTTAAACCGAAAATTTCACATGATTGATCTCCGTACCTGTATGTGCGCATGTCTGAAGCAGTCTGTACATAAAAAACGAACATATGGCTACACAGGTTATTTGTGTGCAGACGGATACTGGGGGAAGGGAGGGGGGGGGCATGTATTAAAACAAATTTCATACAGTAAAGATTCTCTTGGTAGTAGTTTATTTACGTTTAAAGTCCAAAGATACAAAGACCATACATACAATTTACACAGTTGAATAAAGTTGGACATAATATACTGCCATTGATTTGTGAGTGATGAGAGAGAGAGAGAGAGAGAGATATCACCCGGCACAAACGAGGTCATTTCGAGACTAACATAAGGTTTAATTTTATTTGAGCAACTGCGCTTGTGCGTAGGGGTCTTCAGTGGGGTCTTTATCTGTGGGGTGACCTGGAGAACACCTACGAGGTTGGGCAGGTGAACCACGCCATTTGACACAATAATAGACCTTATTATCTAACGCACAAGCGTTAAACTATTCGCCCCCCCCCCATCTCCTCTAGTGAGAGATGTGTAATGATATATAAAACCAACAATACAGGGGTTACTCGACTTAATAATATAAAACCAGGAGAATATTGCACAAATACATAGATTCACATACATTTTACATTAGATAATATATAATATTTATAGTATAATGAATAGGTGAAAAATATAAATTGGAACCCTGCCATATAACACATTTATTTGAGGTAAGATTACATCAGCCCGTCTTTATCTTTTGTAATTTTGTAACATCTTATTACGAATAGATTGTCTTATCAAAGCATATAAAAAATATATAAATAACAAATTATTAATGCCCCTAGCCCAATTACCCCTAGCGCTATCATATAGCTGGGTGACATTATACAAATATTTTTTTTTTTTGGCAATCTACAAACATAAATCTCTAATAAGGTAATCTAAAAAATATTTGGTTTTCTGCCATTGTCCCACGGAAAAGAAATTAATCGTGTTTAACATCCCGCCTTTCTGTGCCAAACGGGCATACCCCATATTGTGTGCTATAGGGTGAATTTTGCCAGAACAGCGGCGTTTCCGCCTATTCTCCGTCAAATTCCAACCTCCATTTGTTAAACCATCCGAACGACTAATCAATGTTGTTTGCAGGAATTTTCTCCGCGAACCCGTGACCTCTAGTTTATTTTAAATTGAAGAGACATTATGCCCAATGCAGATCTTTTTTCTGGCTTGAAACGTTATATAAATTATTTTAGTCATATATTCACAGATGACTCTAAAGACCAACGTTCCCAGAAACTATCTATCTATGTTGAGCGGACGTAAACAATATAATTCTAAGTAACAAATTTAACGACCATATAAAACTGCGCTATAATGTTAATATACAGTTTTTATATCCAAATTAATATTTTTAGGCCTTTCGTACTGATGCCCGATACTATGGAAACGCTTTCCTAATGTAAAAAATCCAAGATGGCTGCCAAAAAGACTATGGAGTAAACACAAACTATACCTAAAGTCAGATTTTAAATAGCACGATAAGTTACCGTTGATGGGAAAGTCTTTAATTTAACACAGGGGCTTTGCTGCAACCATATTCTCGGCACAGGTTAAGGGCAATTTCAGTCCCCTTTCTATAAAGTTGATAAGCCCAATAAATCCACTGCAACAGGCGGCAAGCGGGCTCACTAAAACGTAGATGGGAGCACAGAAAAATCCGATTGGATAAGCGATGCAAATAAGGATGACAAGCCATACTAAACACCATAAGAATCCACAGCCCGCCATTTTATGTAATTAGTCTTTAATCTGTTCACTCTGAAATTCTAAAAAAAAAATTCTAATTATTTGTGAGAAATTCAGCCAAAATTAATAAAACGAATACAACGTAGGCCTATATAATTTTTTATCAATAATGTCAGATATAATTTAGGAGGCATTTATGACAAAACTTCAATTCGCCTAATAATCAGATAATAATATTTCACAGCTTTATCAAGGTGATATATAAGACTTTCTATATAATTATGATGATCATATCCTATTCCGTTCATGTTTGAATGTATATGTGACAGTCAATGTCTACAATCAGGCAATGTGTACAATGCCTGAAATATACCAGTCAATGTGTACAATGCCTAAAATATACCAGTCAATGTGTACATTGCCGGGTTAGGGTTAGGGTGGGGGTTAGGGTTACAAAGGCACATAACAACTTTTGGTCTTCGACGGAATTAATAGTGGGCAGAAATTCGCCCATGTACCTGTTATCACCCGTCACTTCGATCAGTTATATAGAGGGATAACTCTTGTTTTCCTTTTGCATTCGTCATTTCCGATCGTTGAAGCATTGATTACGCCTCTATCGTAGCAATGATCTCTGTGATAAAATGATATTTGGAATGTGTTTAACCAGTTCTATCACATATGTGATAATGACTGGCACCAATATTGTCCTTTAAGAATTAAAATGTTGGTCAATTAGCTTCGTATCTGACACATTAAGCAGCGTAGCTCAATATTCGTATGTTTAGTAAACTAAGAAAAAATACGGCTTCGATATAAAGATGTTAGGCTTCTGGGCTCACCCGAGTTTAGTAGCTGTATTCGACAGCTCTAGAAGTGGAATGCTTTAGAAGGAGTGGACGACATAATAATATGCTCTAGCCTTTAGCTATACACCGTATACACACCTGTATGATTATGTATTTATGTTCTTGTATCTGTTCCTAGTGTAAATTTTATATGTCTTGTTCCTGGTGTAAAAATTATATAATTTCTTGTTCTTGGTGTAAATATTATATAATTTCTTGTTCCAGGTGTAAGTAGTATACGATGTCTTGTTCCTGGTGTAAGTAGTATACGATGTCTTGTTCCTGGTGTAAATATTATGTTTTCCTGTTCCTGGTGTAAATATTATGTTTTCCTGTTCCTGATGTAATTTCTTGTTCCTGGTGTAAATGGTATATAATTTCTTGTTCCTGGTGTAAATATTATATAATTTCTTGTTTCTGGTGTAAATAGTATATAATTTCTTGTTCCTGTTGTAAATAATATATAATTTCTTGTTCCTGGTGTAAATATTATATAGTTTCTTGTTTCTGGTGTAAATAGTATAAAATTTCTTGTTCCTGGTGTAAATATTATATAATTTCAATAGTCCTGCTTACATGGAAACGGTCTCATTGCATTTGCATTAGACGGACTTTTTCGCCGGCGGAAACGCGTGCATGGAAAGCTGGCCTTACACATATAGCAGATACAGCTTTCAAGCATGAATTGTAATACTTAAGACATTAGTGTATCTTTAACTAATTATTGGTTCACACAGACTAATGAAAATGAATGATATATTTATCTTTCAAAAAAAAATAGTGATATTTGGGAGAATGGGGTTCTTTATTCCATATATGGTGGAGGCAGAAATAAGGGAGTTATAAAAGAGGGTGTTGAGCGAAATTGATCAGAGCTTTATTGAGAACGAGGGACCTTCGAAGCCAACCAATTTAACAATAAATTGGAGGAACAACTATCTAGTAGTTTAATTTACGATCATAAAGGAAGTACAACAACGATGTCCGATATTACCACAGAATGTCGAAGCCCAAGAACGTGACTTCCGTTTGAAAACAAACACTGCTTTCATCTAATATTTACTTCGTGTATTTTTGTACCGACAATATCCCTAGCATGAACAAACATTTTACCCATTAAGCCAAAATTAATTATCATTTCTCAACCTTTCCAAAATGATTTATGACCGTAGACAACCCATCTATCTCGTCAAGAGATACCACTTCAAATATATTTTAATTACTCACACAACAAACAGTGACTCGTTTCCACCTGTCAGGAATGCAGGACGTGGAACATGTTTAGTTGTTTGCATGCACGTAAAACAAATGAAATGAAATGTAATGGGGTTCAAAGATACATTCCCGGGTACAAACTGGGTGATTTGATGATATATTTGGACTAAAAACATATTCAAACTAATTAATTTATCATAATTTTGCTTCAAATCCTTCTCAAAACACTGCAATTGTCGGGGAATACCCTGGCTATAAAAAATAGATCAAAATAGGTCATGTTTGCGTCAAGTGACTTGCATCTCTCGGTACTTTGCAACGGAGGCGAAGTCGGAGGAGAATTCATTGCATACACAAGACGATGTTGTCTTTTATCGCTGACTATTTATTACAAATATCGAAGCCTAATTAAATTATCGGATTATCTACTGCCCGCGACCTTTTCTGTGATTTTTATCTCAGAACGTTTTGTAGGTCTAATTCTTCATAAAGTTTATCAACATGTACATCAAGCGCTCAATCTCCACGTGCAACCTTCGACGTCACGCGTGGAGACACTCCTAATCGTCGGGCTGTAGATTAGGGAAACCCTTACATTTTGGTCCTGTATGCGCTCCATGAGTGTTTTTCATGGAATCCAGTATTTTTCTAGTTAGATTGGATATTTCTACTTTCCATATATACCAAAATTGTCATACTTTTATTGGAAATAATCACCCGATAAATACTTTTCTGGGAACGTAGCTTTGATGTCCTACTGTTCTGCTCCGAATTGGGCCATACAGTGTGCTATGAGGGAAATTGTGCCCGGACAGCGGCACTACGGCCTACTTTATATCGAATTCCTACTGTCAAGGGATCTTTTACGTGCACGCCAATGTGTACACGGGACCTCGGTTTTTCGTCCCATCCGAACGACTAGACAGCTGTACTTATCATGCCCTCCGTCCTGCATCACTGACAAGGGGGAAACACGCCGGAAATTCTGGATGAACTCTCTCGGCCAATGCAGGGATCGAACACCCGACCTCCAGGCTAGCGAGCCAGCGCCTTACCCACTTAGCCACCGTGAACCCCACATGCACGTAAAACACACTTACCAATTGAAATTCAAAAAAAAAAAAAAAAATAGGCAAAATGCAAATTGTCCCTTATAGCACATTGTCTTGATTATCCCGACGTTTGGTGGGGAAAAGTGGGATGTTAACCAGCTATTATTTCCATTTCATTTCCGCAACAAATGAAGATAAAAACAATCATTTCCATGAAAAATGTTTTTACATACAAATCCAAAACACCGATCGATCATTGACACCTTATCTTCAAATAAATACCAAGATATTCTAGGAATAGTAACGAACATAACTATCTTGACACCATTATAGAGTCTTCGCGTGATGAATTTAGAATCCACAATTGTATAAACCATGTTACACTGCTTACAATAATATATAGCCATCATTATTCGATTTATATATACCTTCAGTACGGCTTCTTCACAAATAAGTGAAACATTCGCCTCAAGGAACTATCGTGTCACATGGGGTGGTTTGGGTGGACCCAAAAAATAAAATGGCGTTATTTATCACTTAGCGCCAGGTGACATTTAAAGATGCATTCCCACGAATGTATAGTAGAGACACTCAATCTTACTAGAAGAATACTGAATTCACCGAAACAAAACACGAGTCGTGCACAGGACAAACAGTGACGTTGGGGGCGCTTGGTAGGTGTTGGTCAATTACTAACGGTTATAAGAACCGTGAGAGGTTTAACCGTACCAGAAAAAGAAATAATCCAATAATTTACTTATATAGACTTGGACATTTATCGTAAATGTGCAGCAAGTAACGACAAATACAAGCTGAATGGATCATCCCTAAACTTGGCTATTGACCGTGACGGTCAAGTCACGTGACAAGCAAGGCTGCTTAGAATAGATTTAGGGGATTTAAAGCTAACTTTTGATGGATAAAATGGTTTGAATATGTTTTTTAGTCCAAATATCATATCATCAAAGTAACCTACCATACAATTATATCTGAAGCGATAACACACTCAACAAACTCAAAGTGGATAATGAAGATGACACACACAATGCAGTGTTTAATGGGGTGTGTGTGTGGGGGGGGGGGGGTAATATGATCTACCCAGTTCTGCACCGCTGACAAGGGAGTACCAGGCTGGACCTTTTTTTTAGAACTCTCTCGGCGAGCTCTGGGATCGAACCTTACACCGCCTGGTTAGTCAGTGACGTAGGTATATGTCAGTCTGGTGTAGGAATTTAATTGGATAATTTGCATGGCTGTTGTGAACATTTAGCCTTATAGACCAAAAGAAATACGAATTAAGTTGTCAGATTTGCATGGACATGGGAAACGGCTGGATGTCACATCTTTGGGGATTTTCAGAAATCTATGGTTACCGCAAAAACTAGTCTCAAATATCAAGACTATAAATTTTAAATGAACTATTGTTTTAATTTTAATTCAACACCAACTATTCTGTGAGTTTGGGGGGGGGGGGTGTTTTTCTTTTGTTGTTGTAGTTTTTTAAACAGTTAGACATGTCTTTACCTCAGCAAGAAATCCGACACAACTTCGCTATGAGTTAAGAGCGCGAAGGCAAGAAATGAACAATACGTAGGTATGGAAGTGTCTTCGCACTTAGTCAACGCCAATGCATGCAGGGCAGGAGAGATACTGATCGGTTTTTGAGAGTAACGTCAATGTAAAAATATTCCAAATTTCATGAAATTATATCACAAACCGTAAATACAACAACAAAACTACCCAAATTGTATGCTGTATTGTAAAATATAGCTATAACAAAACAATATTTTATTGATTCTGCTGACCGAATCTTTTCTTAAAATTAATTGTACCTGATTGTCAAGTGGAAAGTCAATGCACAAATCTACAAATGTTGATGAAATAGCATCTCGAAACGTAAATATAAAGATACACACAGCAACAAAAGTACCAAATGCCGAGTCGTAACAAATAACTAACAAAACA